CACTCCCACAACATGTGCTCAACACTCAAGTCGCCCGTGCACCACTCTCTTCGCGCACACCTACATCACCTCCTCCCCCCGCCACAACACACCATTCACGCCCGATCCCTCTCCAACTGCACTACCCCTCCCCACGCAACAAACCGTCACATCTCTTCCGCTCTACATCCCACCCTCGACCCCACCTCCAACCAAACATGCACTTCTCACCGCACTCCTGCCTCACGCCCACAACCTCAACATGCCGCCTTCACATCACCACCACCACCAGTGACCAGCACATACATACCCACACAATCGCTTCACCACTCACCCGTCTCTGCAGAAAAGATAGGTCGTCCGAAGTAACATAAGCGAAGTACGGCTCTACTTCTCTCCAAAAACTGTTCGGGCACGCTGATGCTGCAAATACACACCAACAACATGAGCGACAACCATGGCGTCCCAGCACGATCCTCCATATCAAACATCACCAACCCCCGCTTCAAGTGCAAGGATGCCAACATCCCGCAAGCCACGACAGCAACCACCCACTCCCGCACGCCCCCACGACAATAAATCACCCCGCCATCCCTTCCTATCACCCGCCCCCCTCGCTTGATCCACCACTCCAACCACCCCTCACCCCGACCCTCCATGCCACGCCATAACTACCACGCCTTCCGCCCAAACAAACTCTTACCACTCAGCTCCACAGCTTGCTGAACCGCTCTCGACAGCTGCTCGTGGTCATCCTCCTCCTCTGCTCAACAACATACACGCAACTCAGCACACCCCTCGCATTGCACACCCACTCCAATCACCTCACAACCACAACTACCCATTCCACACAACCTTCACACCACACCTGTCATCTCGCCTCCGCTGTTCCCAAGTACCCGCCGAGGCCTGCTGGAAGCTTTCCGATCACCACTGCCCTTCTTCGTGCCTGGACGCCCGCCCCTGCAAACACCAACCCACCCATTCTTCCATCACGCCTCCACAAACCAATCAATGCCCCGGATCCACCCACGCCTCAACCCCATCCCCCCTCACTGCACCCCACCACACATCCTGCCTCCACTCATCAACCGCACCACCATCCCCACATTCTACTCCCACCCATCCAACTCCCACGCACATGCCCAGACAAACCCACCGTACCGCCTCCCACAACCCGCGCACGTACCCGCCCAGCTTCGTCTCCACCGCAGCCCTTCCACTCCTCATCGGCTTTGCATTCCCTGCCGACACCTCCACCTTCTCCACCGGAGTGCTCGCCGCCGCCACCCGCGGCGCCACGCTCCCCCTCCCTGTTCGACCTTGCCGTCTCACCCCGTCCCCGCCTCCGCTCTCCTCCGCTGCTAACGCCGCCTCCTTCTTCATCGTCGCCACCACGCTCCCCGACTTTTCCCTCCCCCCGCTCCCTTTCCGCTCCCCATCCTCCTCTTCTCCCTTCCGACTCCTCTCCCTGCTCTTCGCCACCTCCTCCACCGACTCCTCCGAACCCAACGAAACCGGCCCCCGCTCGGCCTGTGCCTTGCTCGGACCGACCAACTGCCCACCCACTGCTCGCTTCGTCAAGCTCAATACCCCGCCTGCGCCCGAGGAGGTCGACCTCGCGCCTGGAGTCCCACTCGAGACGCCCCCATCCCTCGCCCCTCCGCCCGCATCCACGCCCCCGTTCTCCTCCTCCTTCTCTGGAACGGAGATGCTCACGGGCGGATTCAGGTTCACTCGCCTTGCCCGTGCCATCGTCTGAGGTCGAGAGCTCCCCCACGACGCCACCGGCGGCGACGACGACCGCGACGGCGCTGGCCTCTTCCGGTTCACGGGGCCCGACGCCGCCTGCTCCTTCGCTGGATTCGCCAACGCCGCCGGCTTCTCCCGAACATCTGCAAACGATGACGCCCGGCTCGCGTGCCCGGACTGGTTGCTCCCCGATACCAGATTCGACCGTTTCGCCTTCGGCATCATGCCCGGACCTGCAACGCGCGCTTCCTCCCGACCCACCGCCCTGCCACACCACGTCCCAATCGCATTCAACCATCCGCTCCACCAAACAACCGCTCGCATCGCATCCAAACCTCGCACTACCCACCCGCCGCACTACCATCCCCACAATTCGCAACTCACGCCACTCCTTCCTACACCCCTCCCAATTCCACACACACTCCCTCCACGACCAACCCCCACTGCACATCACGTACGTGGCTCCGCCCTTCACGTTCGCACGCTCCCGCTCCGCCACAATCGACCGCTCCACTCTCCCCGCGCCATGCACTGATCCATCCGCCTCCCCCTTCCCACCACCTCGCATCCCTCCCCCGTTCGCATGCACGATCGCTTCCGCTTTCTGCACAGACAATGTGCCGTGCACGGGTCCCGACGGTGCCGACCTGCCCAACGCACACACCAACCCCACCTCCCCGTCACCCACGTGAACGTCTACCAGGCCTCCCCTCCACAACCATCCCAACAATCCACGCATCTTCCAACCCATGTCCCGCAACCCCTCCTTCACCTTTCGCCACAACATGCAAGCACCACGCTCCCTCATCCACCCCGTCCGACACTTCTCCGCACACCATCCCCACAACTACACACTCTCACCGCACCACGCACCATCCTCTTCGCCCACCCACATTCCCGCTCCTCGGTGCTTCACGCCACCAACATACCCTTCCACCGCTTGCACGCACCCTTCCCATTCATCACCACACGCATTTCCCTCCAACGCAACACCACCTACCTGTAGCCATGGCCCTCGCTCGGACGCGCCCGTCCGTCCACACCGCCTCTGTGATGTTGAACGCTCCCCTTCTGCTCCCGCTCCACGTCCGTGCCACCGTTCGCCACGCTCACCACCGCTGCCTCCGCCTTTATGGTGGCCGACCGTCGTCCTTTCATCTTCGTCTTCTCGTAGCTCCCGCCACCTCCTCCACCCACTCTCTCCTTCTCTTCCACCGGAGAGCTCAAAAAGCTGCTCGGCCTCGGGCTCCCCCGCTCTCTTTCTTGCACCCCGGAAGACCGCTGCACGCTCAGATTGCTCGGTCGCCCCTCAGGCTGCATCACAACCCTCACACCACACCACACCGTAAGGAACACCACCACACGCACGCACGCTCACGACACTCGCCCACCCAACCGCCCCCTGCATACGGCATCACACCACACCACATTCACGTGCGGTTCTCTCAATGCCTCCCCTTCAAACCTCACCCATTACGCCGGTTTCAAACGTTCCCGCGTCCACACCTCCTCCATACTCCAATTCCTCCAACCCACAAGTCAATGAGTACGCAGAGCCGGCGCCCCACACCGAGCCCCCCCCCCTCCCCCCCAGAGTCACATGTGACTTCGCATGTGATCCAAGAAGCAATCATGGTCCCTCACTACCACCCACACCGTCCACCTCGAGGACTCCCTACTTTCTATGACCCAACGTCCTAAAAACATCACAATGCGCTTGCACGCCCAACACTCCATCAACCCCGTTCCACAACCGCAACCCACAACGCGCGGTCTTTTCACCATACCCGTGCGTCTGCCAACGAAGTCCGCATTCGCTTGTTGATCATCCCGCTCTTACTCTTCTCCCCTCCTCCCTTCACCATTCTCGATATCTCACCGCTGCTAGAAGCGCTTCGACCACCTCCTTTCGCCACATGCCCAGACGAAGCACCTCTCTGACCTCCACCCGCATGTCCCCCCTTGTCATGTCCACCAGACTCCGGTCTGCTTCTCTTCCGAGACTGCATTGCATACAGGAACCTATCCAGCTTGATCACCGCCTCCGACAGGTGCCGCATTCGCTCTCTGCCAGTTCACACCACCACGGACGTTCAAAACGCTGCCGGCAATACACCTACAAAGTCCTCACCTACAACACCCCTTCCACCGCATGCTCCCACTTACCACACATGCTACCCCTGTTGCTACCAATACCCCACCCCCAACACAACCACGCTCCCTCGTCACTCACCCCTCCCACTCCCCACCTCTCCACGCACCCCCAACCACCAAACGTCCCGCCACTTACCTCGCCCGCGACGCCCCCTCCGTCAGCCCGACCCTCATCCGCTTGATCTCTTCCCCGCTGCAGCTCTCCAGAGCCTTCGACTGCAACCCTCCCAGACTCGGGTCATCGCCCTGTTGACTGCTCGCAGCGTTCATCGCCCGTCGCAGCTCCGTTTGCGCATTCGACTTCACACTCGGCAAGCTTATGCTCTCCAGAAACAGGACGCTCGCCAGAGCCGGAGCCTCGCCGTGCGAACTCGATGGCCCGCCTCCGCCCGATGCCCGACCTTCGTGACCATCCCGAAAACTATGAGACTTGTCCAAGCTCGCACCGAAACCCCGGTGTGCACCTCCGCCCACACCGTGCGGGCCCCCGTCGGGACTGCTCAAATTCACAGTATCCAGCCTCTGCATGGATGCCATCGTTCCGACACGGCACCACAGCGGTGCCACCGACTTCCCTAGCTCATCTCCTTCAGCTCGATCCTCCAAACCATGTCACATGCTCCCAGCCCTACCCGGGACGCACCTTCTAACTCCGCCACCTCGGACACACATTACGTGCTGGAATCCCCTCATTCATCACGCTTGCCACGCCCCGATTGTCCTCCAATCTAAGGTGTGCAGAAGAACCATTCCGCATCGCCTTCCATCCCCCACGACTCAATTCTCTGCACACCACCCCGACACGCCCTCCACATCAGATTAGGTTACACGCAACGGGGGCGAGGGCACTCAGCATGCACACTACGCCCAACGCCCTCGCTCCTAAACCGCAAAATTCGATCGCCATCGCCCCTCCTCGTCCATCACAGAACCACCCGGCATCTCCTACTCCAAAAATCGACACAGCCAATTCATGCCCAGATGCCATGAATGTCGTCAATCCAGCCCTACGACCTCTCCTACCATGCACCATAAGGCCGGCGATGTTTAAAACCCCGCCACTATGCAATCGTTGTCCAGAACAATACCAAGACCATCGCCAGTTCCTTAGGAATCCGGTCAGCAAGTGATTTCCATGGTCTACCATCAACCTGACATGCTAGCTCGACAAGAACATCTCATCGCGCTGCCTCGCAGCGTTTTCCACAGGACTTCCGCAGCGCACACGCCACCAGGAGGGTAACCGGACCACTGCGACCAGCCCTCTCGGTGGACGGAATCAGCGCGTCGCCCGCTAATCGGATCGCAAATTGACGATCAGGAGCTGGACCAGCGACGGCCAGCGCCATCCCAGCATGGCCACCACGAAAGCGGAAGCTCAGAACCCTAGAGCGCGACCGCAGGGGGGGGGGGGGATTACGTACCTGGAAGAGGCGAATGGATGCACTCGGTGGTAATGGTGGAGCTGGCGAGCGTGGCGAAATTTGGTGGCGACAGAAAGCTGGGATAGCGGGCGTTAGAAATGCGCTGGTACAAGGGCGGAAGAAGCAGCAGCAAGGCGCGGGCGACGTCAATGGCAGATTTGTTGAGAGGGAGAGATGGCGATGGTGGTGGGGTTTGGCTAGGGTTTGAAAGCATCGCAAGGTCTGTATGATCCAGTCATGAGAAACCAAAGGCGATGAAGGGAAGGGGGAGGGGAGGCAAGGAATGAAGGAAGGAAGCCAAGAGAAGTTCCAGACTTGCCGCTCCCAGGGTCTCCTCGTCGTGTGTTCGAAGTCTGCCCCGCGCTCTCTCTCTTACTCTCTCTCCTTGTACTTGTGTTTTCCTCTCCTCCTGGTTTAAAGTCCCACTGAGTCGGTCCTGGCTCTAGTGGTGCTCTTCCACCACAACCTCCCCTCTAGTTCTGTTTCCAGCGTGGATGGAATGTCCACGTCGTCATCTGACGTGGACTTTTTGGTGGGTCCCAATTGCATTCATTTTGAAAGTGTGCATGAGTCGATGGGACAGAAGGTTTTTGTGCAGTGTGGTTTCTATGTGAGGTGATTTTGCTATTTTGTCCTCTTTGTTTGAAATTTCAATCTACAACTGGTTGTTCGTAGTTTGATTCTCATAACATTCTTTCGTATGATACAGCTTTTAAACTCGTTTTTTCGAGAATGTTAATGGAAAATGTCTTTTGTTAGTTATGCATGTTCTAATGCAGTGCGAACGTTGCATAACTTTAAGAATTTCTTATCAACGGGTTCCGATACCGGTAAATTTAGTTGTCTTTAGATACGTGGAGTTGTTTCAGGATCATCCATTTATTGTGTTGGAGTTGCAGTTTCCTATATTTAAATTGGCAACAATGTTTTGTGACACATCCACTTTCTTTTTGTGAAAATACTTGTGATGAATTATTAAATTGATTTGGTGTTATAATCTCACGTATTAGTATCAACAGAATATATTTTTCTTCTGATTTGCTCTTCATGCGTTTCTTTCGGGAAATTATATGTTGAGAGTAGATAGAAAAATAAAGTAGTAAAAATAGTTCTAAAATAATAGAGTAACAATGGAAGATGTGATTGATCCTAACTGATAGTAAAGCAAGCCTGTGCTCTCAACGAACTCATCTTAGGATATATTTTCAGTAATATTGATTTGGAAGAATATATAAGAATTTGTTTTATAATTGTGCCAATTATATTTTATAAAGATACACACTTATCTTAATTTTTTCTATGCAAGCTGGAGCTAATCTAATTAGCATTTTATTCACATTTGAATATTAGTTAATGAGAATATGTAGTCATTTTATAATTTGAAGACTTAAATACTCAAATTTAGAATTCTGAACTTTTGAAGTGAAAGAAGAAGTAAAAGAATGTTTTGGGTAGTGTACTATATATATATATATATATATATATGTATGTATGTGTGTGTGTGTGTGTGTGTGTGAGTATCAACTTGTCATCATTTTCAATGACTAATAAGCCAACTATTGTACTTTAAACTTCAATTTGCTATATCACCCCAAATTATAATATGTTTGCCGACAATGTTTTTGGTGATGGATTTAACCTAAACTATCTAATTTAAATCATTATCTAAACAACTTTTTATATCAGTTCTGATTTCATTACTTAGTTTCAAATTATACTATATTGCAAATTCAGCTTCTATTGTGATGTTTATTCTGTGAGATCGAGTTCATGTCCTTAATCTCTTTAAAAATTGGTTCTTAAACGTGTATTTTTGGCATTAACAAGTTTTAAAAGACTTGTGAATATGATTGCGCATTCCACTAGGTTTATCTTTGTGGGTAATGAATGATTAAATAAGTTTTTGTAAAACTTTTGCTAAGTTTTTATCTCAAAATCATTGGTTTTGGTTTTGTTTCTTTCTATTTAAAAAAAAGAAAAGAAATCCAGATAAACTCCAATTTCTACTAAAACGAATCAAACAATAAATCATTATCATTTTTATGTCAACAGGCTTAAACGTATATATATATTTTTTGCTGTTGCAATAAAATTAACTGAAATAAACCACTCCATTCTGTTTAATGTGTTCAATTTCGTAAAAATTTTAACATAATTTTTTCAAAAAGTTAAATATCCTATTCAATACCCATTTTCGTAACACAACAATGTATGTTTCACAAAGTGACAGTTTGCCTTATTGTCATTCATCTTCTAATCAAAAAGGGAAAAAATTATTCTTCTTGAATTTTTGTATTCTTTGAACAGAACATTTATATGTGTACGTAGATGAGTACATTTTTCACATGTTTTAATTAAGATAAAAATGTAAAATATGAAATACAAATACTGACCCTTCATTAACTTGTACACACACATGTACTTTCAAATAGCTAGTTATTTTTGCATACCGTCTAAATTTTTTAAGCTTGTTCAACATATTTTTACAAAAAATGGTGACTTTTTAAAAATAAAATTTTGTATTTCTATCATTTATATTTTTTGAAAAAACAAGAATATGAATGCATGTCTTAAATCTAAATGTCAAAATTTTCAACAAATACCTAACATAGAAAAATGAGATCTTATTATTATTATTATTATTATTTCCATTTATCTACTTGAACTTTGTTGATTTGCAATATGTTAGTCCTTTAAAACCTTATTGTATTTGCTTTTAATTTTTATTTATTTATTAAATTTCTTATGTGATCGGCGGAGTCTTCGAGGCATCCCCCCCCACGGGGAAGGGCGTCTTTGCCGAGAACCGAGTGACGTCATTGGACGTCCCATTGGCGCGGGTAATCAGCAGTCCTCCGCCGCCTGCGTTCATCGTTGCCCATGGCTACCGACTCCGATCACCACCACCCTGAGCATCAGCCATCGCTCTCTCTCTCTCGCTCTCTCTCTCGTTCTCTCTCCCGATGAGATCCATCCAACCTGGAGCACACCGGGGCTTGCACTGAGTCTAGATTCACAGCTCAAGGTTGCCATTTTCGTGGGGGAATGGAATGGAGTGGCCTCTTGGTGCTGCTGCCTCATGGCTGAACTGTTCCTTCACTGGACCACCCTGATTAAGTTACCCATCATCTCTTATTATGGCTGTTCTTCAGCTCATATGGGCAGAGAGCTGTCAGTCCAGCCGCATCGACGATCGCTTCCTCCACACCTTCTGGAACTGCACCTCTGTCTCTTCCGTCACTTCTAAACCTACTGTGAAGTAAGTACCCTTTATGTGCTTTTCCCACCACTGGAGCCTCTACAGTCTTCCCGGTCAGAGCTCACATTCGACCATCCTTGCTAATGACCTCGCCTACTCGAATTCTTGTCTTGTGCTTTGGATATCATCTTCGCAGAGTAGGATTTGATATCCACATGACGACGAAATGAAGGGTGATCGGGCGTCACTGTTATTGCGTTACTTCATTATTACACTTAATCCATGAATTTTTTGAATGACATTTGTCCGCATGCAAATCCATTCCTTGTTTCCGACGTCCAGGCCAAGCTGAATTTCTGAATTTGGATTAAATCCGGATTGTCTACCTCTTACAATTTCTTAACTGTAGGGCTGTCCAATATTCTGGGCAGACATCCAATTTCGAAAAGACAACCCTCGTGACGGAGAAGCTGCTGGAATTGACCTTGTGGGCACCATCATTGAATCGACAGAAAAATCGGATATTTTGGCAAGGGCTGTGTGAACACCAAAGACCAAATCGGAAGACGCCAATTGTAAAGAACTGGTAAGCGCGAGATTGTTTACATTCTGTGGACAGACCGCAGGCAGGATTTCAGTCTTGCTACATGTGATTTAGGGATAATTTGCAGTTTTTGTACGTGATGCCACATATGCTCCTTCAGTCAACAGTAGAAGGTCTTTCAGTGTCATGTAGAATAGTGATTTGTGATTTTTACCAGCGTTTCATGGGTGAGAAAGATGTCTAGTTCGTCAGGTTTTGGTTGCTCGGGTATATATCAGAGGGTCGAAGACAAAATCGATGGCAGAAACCGGAATGGCACTGGACAATTCTAGATTAGAAGAGTGGCAAGAACCGCAGCAGCAGATTGAAACTGGAATTTACATGCAGAGTGTAATAGCACAAGCAGTTGCAATGAGCAGCACCCCACCTACTGTTGTAGATAGTGACAAGTTAGAAGACGTTCAACGCATGTAGGATATTTTAGCATCAACCCAAACGGACATAGCATTGAGTTGCAGTAACATTCAAATGTATTCAATTGTTCTGGGACAACCATACAGGTTATTCCAACCAGCATCTATGGACCTTACGACCCAAAATCCTACTCCTGAATCAGATCGCGGCATCACTATTCATAACGTCTAGCGATGTCGATGAATAAGACATCAAAAGCTACGAGGCACAGCTTCATTAATGAAGCTTCGGATCCAGAGTCCGAAGCTTTAAAATTCTCTAACTACCCTTGCCTATCATGGATGATCATCTCACTGCAAATCGAAGTCCTGAAGTATTTACCACAACGATGAAGGGGTGAACTTCTCCAGTCTACAGAGAGACATCCCCACCCTCCCCAGTCCTAGGCAACCATGTCCGGTTGGCTATGCTGACTTGAGTGTACAAAACCCCGTTTGAGGAGTATAACCTTCGTCAATGTACATGTGTCTTTCGAATGACCTTCAAATGAGACTCAGCAGACTTCTTGCAATGGCCTCATGCCACAATTAATCATTGGGCTCGTGGTAGGAGGCAGAGGCATGCATCCACTTGAAACATCCATGGCGGAAGGCAGGGAACTGCATCCGCTATGAACTAGCTCAGGCTCCACAGGAGCCATTACTGGCTCTGAAGAATGATAGACAATTGGAAACTTCGTAACCCGAGGTTTGTCGGCTAGAATGTTCCGCTGCACTTTGTCAATGATGACACTGGCTGGAGGTTCCTCACGCAGCGACTCCTCAATGTAGTCGTTATTCACATAGTATCCCACTCTTATGAACTCCTGCCCCTGGTATGAGCAAGTCAAGAGTAGCACGGTCACACCGACAATGTCCTTTTCTGGGATTCTGGACAGTTGCGGGGGATCGGCCTGCAGAATTTTTTTTGTTAGACTCGCGTGGCTATTTCAAAAGTGACAAGTGCGCAAGTGTATATACATTCATATATAAATGAAAACATCCAGACTTAATGTATTCTGACGGAGGGTTATGGGCAGAAAGAAAAAACCCAGGGAAGTCTGGTGTGCCAGAACGAACACATGAGAGCGAGCTAATTGTGGTTACCTGGAAGACAAATCTGTAGTGGCCCACGTTGACGGGGCCAACAAGCACGCTCTCTAACACTTGGTCGTACTTCTCGTCCTCGGCAGAGCCAACATAAATCAACTTCCACTCCAGATCTGCATTAGATGAAACGTAATCCCTCATAAGTCTCGGAAAACACCATCCGCAATTCCCTCCCATCAACGAAATGAACTCTACATGTAGAAGAAATTCAACAAAAGTCCGGGAACTCACCGTCTCTGAGCGGAAGAAGGCACTCGTACGAAATTTCGAACTGGAAGGGATTCGTAAAAATGCTGGGATTATCCAATACAGAAACATTCGTCACGTTTACTGCAGCCATGGTGAGAATCCGGAACTAGAGTACCACTCTCCCCCTCGTAGATTTCGATCCCTAGGTTCAGAACAAGTACAAGGATTCCCTGTGCTCAACTCCAAAATCAGCTCCGACCTCACAGATGCTACATGAAAGAACCAGTCACGCTGCTCGAACCCTGAATTTGGAAGCTGGACTCCGATGATCTCAAGAGGGTAGATCCGAAGAATTCAGTTGCGGGCTGCGCGCGCGGGGTTGAGGCCGAGAGGGAGGGAAGAGGGTTGCAACTGATTCGTTTCGAAGGGGTCGAATGGGCTTATGAAGGAGTAGAAGTGCAAACGGCTACTGTTGGTGGCACCCAGGGGAGTTATTCCCTCAGCCCATTCTGGTACCCAGGAGTGGCTTGATCGGGTATGCCCCGAGTACCGTCACAGACACGGGGGCACAAATCAGGTACCATCGTGGTCTAGAGAGGTGGGTAGAAAACTTTTGCCCGGCGAAGGAGGAGCATTACAATATGATATGGTTACAATGTGGCAGATGAGGGTACAATTAGAGCGGGAGCCACCCGCGGGAACGGCAACGTTCAAAAGCCCAAGGGGAAAGGGAAGTCGGTACCTCCTCGATGGCTTAGTGACCTGGTGGCGGCAGTGTGAACGAACTTTGGCGGGAGCGAGGGCGAGACAGTTTGGCACTTGTCTAGAGCCCATGAGGCTGGAACGGCCATATACCACTTTGGCCCTCGAGACTATCAACGGCATGAAACTAATTATACCGGCTCTGAGTTCATCAACGCTGCTGACCTCTGGGCTTGTCTCCTTGCTCACATGGCATGCCACATCATCCTTAAGGAGCCACCTCACAACATATTCGCATTTGTGCTTCGTTATCAAGATGGTGAGAGAAAGCATTTTCTCCTTTGGAATACCATCTCATTGATCATCTCACAGACAAAAAAGTTTTTTTTTTTTTTGAAAACTGTAATAGTAATTGCACTTAGGTAATAAAAATTATCTTGCCAATGTTTGAATTTTATGCATTGTTCAAATTTATAAAAAAAATTGTAAAATGTTGTTTGATTTTTGAGACAATAAATTTATTTAATACATAAATCTATAAAAAAAAATCTTCTAGTAAAGTATCCACTTTTAGTAGTTTCACTAAGCATTTAGAGTTTCTTCTAAGGTTGTGGCACCAAATACATTATATCTTGCCATCTATTTGAAAAAGACATGTCTCTCTTAAAGGTATTCATTACAATTTTGACATTGTTTTGATTAACATAACTTAAGTGGTTTATTTGGTAATTATGCAAATAAAAACTAATGAGGTAAATTTTTCAATTGTTCATTGTTTGTATTACAAAGAAGTTCTACAAGTAAAATTTAAATTTAAATTTTATTTATTTATACAATTTATACCATTGTGTTCTGAATGGTTGATCATTAGTTTTTATAGATGAAGTTGTTGAAAAATTACAAAAAATTTGACATATTAGAAAGATTATTATATAGCTCTTATGTGTATTTATTGATATTATATCTAAACTAATATGGAAGACATTCCAATTTATTTTGGTATTGCCTTGAATCTAAGATTCTTTCAACTTTAAGCTCTTGGATATTATCTATTTGAATAAGATGTGGTAGTAACTATTTTCTTCTTGATATATTAATTACAATATTAAGTTAAATAAGAGATTATCAAAGAAAAAAACTCAAAGAATGTAAATAAATAGATGAGACATTGTCACGGACATAGAAATACAGACTCGAGATCTAACAAGAAGTTCAAGAAGAACTGGTAAGAACTAGATTAATCAGATGAATACAAGAACAACACTAGAGAGGTGAGCTAGAGCTCCAAGAGATGTGTTGTCGAGACTAAAGAACTCTTCAACCTCGATTCCAATATATACTCCTATTTAGGAAGCTTCTCAAGCAACTTCTACCAACTAGGAAGCTTCTAGAAGGTTCCAGAGACTTGCTTTTAGAAGATTCTAGAAACTTATCTCTAAAAGGTTCTAAGGACTATGTCCCTAACATCTTCTACTAACTAAGAAGCTTCTAGAAGGTTCCAGAGACTTGTTTTTAGAAGGTTTTAGAAACTTGTCTCTAGAAGGTTCTAAAGACTATGTTCCTAACATCTTCTACTAACTAAGAAGCTTCTAGAAGGTTCTAGAAACTTGTCTCTAGAAGGTTTTAAGGACTATGTCCCTAACATCACCCCCTCCTTTAGCTTCAAGGTCTCTGAGAAGCAATGTTGTTGTTAATCAGTATCAACGCAAGAAAATGAAGATCTGTCGCATAACGTCTGCTATAAACTCCAACTATTGTTTACGAGGCAAGTGGTTCATCGACCCTTGAAGCCAAAGGTAGTGGCCCACTCCTTCAACTTCTGATCAAGCATGAACTTCCGTATCCTCATTGTGAAATTGTCCTACAAACACGCCTTCTGGCTGACCATCATAAGCAGGCTCGAACTCAAATACAATCACTAGTGATCGGTTACTCGGTATCCTCCGTCGTTGTTGTGGTGTAGGCGGTTCTTCATCTCGGGGTCGCCTTCGTGAGCTAATCGGTTGAAATAATCTGACTGGCATAGTATCTATCTCTTGGCTATCCATATCAGAAGACCAAACTATGGCTATTGAAAAAATTCTACTTTATCTTGGAGAAAATAACTACATCAACTACGAATTTTGGTGGTGCTCTCCCCCTTTCTTATATTCTTAGGTGAGCAAGCTTTAGAAGGAAGCTATCGTCGAACCGACTTAGGTTTATGAAGATGTTGTTGATGAAACTCCTGTACCTTTTATGGCACATTGGCGAGATTTTCAGCTAGCTCCCACGTTTGCTCATTAATGTCATAGTTGCACCAATGAACAAGATACTCCAACTTGCCCAACCTTCGCCATGAATCCAACACCTTTTCAACCTTGTATTCCTCATGGTTCTTGATCTCAATACTAGGTGGCGGACATTACACTCTTCTAAAAAAAGACGACTCTTGATAAGGCTCCAATAGAGGTCTTGAAAGATTCGATGTACCTTCATAGAAGCCGGTAATTCCAGACGATATGCCATTGGATTGATTTGCTTCTGGATGATAAATGGTCCCAATCTTTGATAGTCCAACTTATCACTTGTTCTCTTGGTCTTGATATTTTGTCGAAGAAGCCATGCTTTATCTCCAATTTTGAAAGTAGGTGCTTGATTCCGAAATCTATTTACAGACGCCTTGTAGGATTCTTGAGCGGATTGTAATTGAAGCTTCAATGTATTTTGAAGCTCTGATAGTTGTTTCGCAAATCTTTCAGCTGTTGGATTGTTATTTGTTGACGGACTCAATAAATCAAGCTTTGGATGATATCCATAGTTGGAAAAGAATGGTGTGTACTGAGTCAACGCATGGAAGGTGTTGTTATATGCAAACTTGGCTAGCGGCAGATATGTGGTCCAATCGTCTTGCTGATAGTTGATGCTGCATCGTAAGTATTGTTCCAAGACTTGATTCACCCATTTTGTTTGGCCGTCAATTTGAAGATGAAAAGTCGAAGAAAGCATGATATCCACCTTCAGTATCTCAAAGAGAGATCTTCAAAACTTTGATACAAATTAGGTTCCTCGATGTGATACGATATCATCTGATAGTCTATGATATCGATACACATTATCGAGAAAGAGCCTTGTTGTGACTTCACTGGACGATGTCTTCTTGTAAGAGATAAAGTGCGCCATCTTTGTAAGCCGATCTACCATGACAAAGATGCTGTCAAATGATTTCGATGATGGCAAGTCCGTGATGAAGCCTATGGAAACTGAAGACCATGGTCGATGTGGAATCGGCAATGGCTGTAGGAGTGCATAAGGGTGATGTCGAGGATTCTTAAGTCTTGAACAGATGTCACAGGAGAGGACAAAATCTTTCACATTCTTTCATATTTGGGGCCACCAAAAATCTCGAGAAATAAGCTCCAAGGTCTTATTGAATCCAAAATGTCCCGCAGCTGGAAAATCGTGGCGAGATTGAAGAACTTGGAGTCGTGCTAGTCCTTTTGGGATATATAATTGCTCCTCAAAGTATAAAAGATCTTCCTCCACCTTGAACTTATCGTCATTGGCACGCTGCTTGATATCAATGGCTATTGAATCTTCAATGGTCATGGCACGTACCTGGTTCAGGAAGTCAGCATCAATTGGTACAAAAGTAGTGCAAAGTTGAAATTACTCTGGCTTCAACAACGTCGTACATTGTTGATCAAACGCTGCTTCTCCAGCCTTTGGTACAAGATACGATCTCCTCCATAAGGCATCAGATAGTCCTTACTGCTTTCTAGGTCGATAAGTGATAATAAAATCAAACCTAAATAGCGACATATTCCACTGAGCTTGATGTCGATTTAGAACTCGAGCTGACATGAAATACTCCAAATTCTTGTGATCTGTGTATACGGTCATTGGATGTGCAGCTCCTTCAAGAAAGTGATGCCATTCTTGGAAAGAATCCACTATAGCAAGAAGTTCCTTATCGTAGATCTCATAATTGATTTCAACAATAGAGAACTTTTGAGAATAGAATGCAACCGGATGGAGCGTCTTGTCTTCTCCCATTTGTGAAAGTACATCTCCCAAAGTAAAATCCGAAGCATCAGTTTCTAAATAAAAGGCCTTTGTAAAGTCTGGATGTACCAAGATTGGAGCCGTAGTAAATACCGTTTTTAGGTCTTAAAACGCCTTCTCCACTAGAGGTCCCCATTTTAGTTTATCCTTGCATGTCAACCGAGTGAGAGGAGCAGCAACTTGAGAATAATTCTTGATGAAGATCTGATAGAAGTTAGCAAAACCAAAAAAGCATTGTATGTCTCTCATCGTCTTCGGAACCTCCCAGGACATGATTGCTTCCACTTTCTTGGGATCCATCTTCAAGCCTTCAGTAGTCGCAATGAACCCCAAAAACTCCATCTCTATTTGGTGAAATAAACACTTCTCCAACTTGGCATATAGTCCTCGCTCGTATAGTTTGTCCAAGACCAAATGAATGTGCTTTTCATGCTCTTCCTCGTTTTTGGAGAATATCAAAATATCATCCAAATAGATGACAACAAAATCGTCAAGGTGCTCTCGGAAAATATCATTCATTATATGTTCAAAGATCGCTGGAGCATTGGTAAGACCAAAGGGCATGACATTATACTCAAAATGGCCATACCTTGTACGGAACGCTGTCTTCCACTCATCTCCTTCCTTGATTCGTACGAGGTTGTAAGCTCCCCTTAGATCAATTTTCGTAAAGATCCTTGCAAGTT